GTTTGTTCTCCAGAGCATGCGAAGCTCCACACTTATGAAGGCCCGATGACGCGCGATTCCTAGGAGGCCCTCCAATTAATCGTTCGATGCAGTAAACGCACGCAATAGGGTAACATAGCTGGGATCTAATTATACAATTCGTGCCGACAAACGTTCGCGAGAACATGAACCTTCATGAATACGCTAACTCCCAGAGTGATTCTTGCCAGCTATATGATAGGCGCCCTCACAGAAAAGCAGGTGCAGCACCCGCCATGATGCCAGATTTGCTATCGTTGGGCGAAACACACAATCTGAAGCAACGTTGCATCCCCTGGTCAGCCGTGACTGTTTTGGTATCCTGGCAGAGCCGTCGCGATGGGTTTTTATCTTTTGCACAGTTATGTATCGCCCCAGTCAAGCAAATAGACCGAAGCTGAATATAAAGCATGGAGAAACTGGGGCTAAATCACGCCGTAAGTCAGAAGGCGTCCACCGCTTGCCGGTACATTGCGTGCGCGTTCAACGCTAGACAAAACTTTCTTGATGGAGCGAACAGAATGCCTCACAAAGTAGACAGACACACAGCAAAGCGGCTCCTGAAAAATTGACATTGCGCTTGAGTGCATGCAAGCAGCACCTTCCGAGATAACGGCTATCAACTAACATTCGTGCAGCATTGTTGAGTCAACGCCATACTGCCTGATTGTAAACATGCATGCAGTGAAGGTGCGGTTTTCCCCACCAAAAATTGTAGAGCTGCTTGTGCGAGAAAATACGCGGGGCAGTTCACAGCTAATTATCGTATTTCGGTGAACTAGGGAGCCCAATCATGTGCGTTTTCCTTTGCTTCGATAGCTTTTGCATGCTGCGTACATCCTTTCACACCAAAGCGACCAGCAAGCGCATATCATTCATGCTGTTCATTGTATGGGAATCAGCCACGCACTTTGGAATTGAAAACGCGCACTAACATGACAGTTATGTGCTAGTGCTTGCCTTATTGCCGAAAAACGCAGCTTCCAGCTGGAGCTTGCACTGCCATGACTAAACTTGTGCGAAGTTTCAACCATTAAAACGGCTTTCTGGAAAAAATGTGCTGGCAGAAAGAGTCCGCCGTGGCTTGTCATCAAAGGCGCCCGCGTGTACATTTTCCCAACAATTAGAGGAAGTGCGCAGTGTGCTCACGGATAAACAATCTTAAGAAATGCGCTGCGTGACTGTCTTTATGGTAATCGGTAGACTGCGTTGCTGCGTTCCTCCAACATTCGCTCATGTCTTCCCTTTTCTTGATCTTACCGTCTAGAGAATAGCAAAAGCCGCCTTCAGTCTCCCAGTACTGTTTCTTCATAGAGAAGAAAAGGCAGTTTGCTTGCGAGAATTCTTCTCTTCTCCAGAGCCTGCGAAGTACCACACTTATGAAAGCCCGATAACGCGCGATTCCTATAAAGTCCCGCTCTCATTCGCTCGATGCGATTGATTCGCGCAAAGAGTGTAACTTAGGCAGGATGCAGTTACACAATTTGTGCCAACAACCCTTCGCCAGCCCTTTGGCCTCCAACGAATACGTTAATGCACAGAGTGATCCTTGCCGGCTATTTGACATGAAACCATCTAGATAAGCAGGTCGACCTCTCACCATGCGTGAAGCTTTCTTCACTGTCCACTTGATGTGCGTGGTGGGAAGCACTCACATACTGTTGCAAGACAGCCCACGAAGCGTATGTATTTTTCAGTAATTGACACGTTACCATATCTTCCTGTAAAAACGGCGCCCCGGTATTTTCACAACAATGTGATGCTCCAATTAGAGGAACAGACCTAAGCCACCTGGACTGAATGGAGCAAAAGCAGGAACGTTAAACCTTTCAATAAACAGCAAGCATCGCTGGCGCGCCGCCCATGTGTCTAGCCCGGTGCAAAAGGCAAAACATCTCGACGCCTCGGACAGAATATCGTACAAAATAATCAAGCGGACAGCACAGCGGTATTTTGCAAGAAAGAGTATCCTCTTTTAGTGCAGATATGCGGTGAGTAGAGAATAGACGTTTATCGACTGCCATTGATGCGTCGATATTGGCTGTATGTCTCACGCCCTGATCAATTTCAATGCAGGTAATTTGAAGCTCTAGTTCTTCTTGCTTCGAGGCCCCCATGTTTTGCCTCTCGTCAGAAATGGTGGCGCAGCGGCTGTGAAATAGAAAAAAACGAACGGTAGCTCTATGCAGCTCTCTGCTGACCGGAAGAGTGCATCCATGTACTTTAGTGTTTACCATGATATTCTTTGCGCGCGACATACATCCTTCGATCAGACGGATCCGCCGTGCGCAAGTCGCACTTCATATTTATTGCACAAAACTGTGTCAGAGCTCTTGAGATATGCAAAGCGCGAAGACGGCCATGCGCTCATACTTGCGTTGAAGTCATCAAACGCAGCTGCCAACTGAAGGTTGCACTGTCAAGGCTTAACTGTCAACAGTCAAGGCTTAACTTCTGCAGCGCTTCAAACTATAAAACAAGGTATTTTGGAGACAGATGCTGACAGAATTGGTTCAAGGAAATGTTGTAACCCCACGTCAGGATAGGGGTGTGTCACCTACGATGCCAGCGTGCCCATTTGCATGGAAACTCAAGCTAAATGCAACTCACGCAAGATGATGGAATGGCCACGAGCAAGCGAGACTTTGTTTGTACTTTCTCGTTGTGCGCTTCCACTAATCCTTACCAACTGTTTGTGCACGAAAATACCTGGTTTGCCAATTGAGACTTTGCTGCGACCCTTGGCGCCTTTGTTCTTAATCTTGCTTGTGATGATGTTCACACCATCAATGCTGAGAAGTTATACGGTGGTAAAAAGCTGACGGGGGAAAAACAAAAAACCACGGGAGCGTCGGAAACATAAATTGCAGAGGAAAAGTAGGGCTCGAGCAGTGAGTCTGACATATGGGAAATGCGGCTGGAACAAGATCAGTAGCCAGACTAAAAGACAAATCGCAGGCCCAATTTACCTCCGACATTGTGCTGCCCAATAAAAGACTAAACGTGTGGGCAAGCATCAGCTCCAAAATCCTGCTGCCAAGAGACACATGGCTACCGAGAATACCCATCAAATGCCGAAGTGCATTGCGAGTACGCAACCAGGTGTTTGGGAAGCTCACAATCTAGCTCAAGTAGCCGTGCCACTTAGTATTCTCCGGGCATTGCGGCTGGCCGCACAAACATCAAATTCCAGAGACACAGCAAAGTCAAATGGTCAACACCAACGTCTGCAGTTGCATCGGGGGATTTGTAAACAGAGGGTCTGAACGAGTGAAGGAAGTGTTTTAATATGTAACCATATCTAAAGTGTGTAAATTAGCGGACGACATAAGGAAAAAATGAGATGATATGATGCAGCAAAACGAATCAAGGTGCCTGGCGTTTCAGTGCCTTTTGCAGTTGCTAACTATTGGTCGTCGCTTAAGCGCACAGCCTTCATGTTAAGAATTGTCCTACAGTGTGCGACTTTTTTCACAAGGGCTTCCTTCACCTATTGTCACGCGTCATCATTCTGAAAAGTGCACGCACCTCTGAAATATAAATCCAACACATTGCTGATACACGCCAGGTTATCATGAAACTTTAAGAGATGTACACGTACCTTCTGTGGATATGGCTGCCTTCCAAAGCTCGACGTGACGTTAGTTGCCTTGATGTCTTGCTTCGTGGGCTTCAAATACGTTTCTACCGCAACAATGAAATACAATTATCGATGCCAGCATTAAGCAACTAAGGTTTGACGAAAACTGCAATGACTGAAGTACAATGGCTGCAACATAACTCGCCTGTGGAATAAAGGCCCGGAAGTGCGCGTATACTTTAAAGAGTCCCCCACTCATATTTTTTGTATGATTCCCATTTTTGCACACAGTTACTCGAATTAAATCGCGTTGCTATTGCAATTTTGTTTGCAAAGCTCAAATGCCCAGGGTGAGAAATGTTCTTGCCTCTCCCTGAATTAGTTAAGGTAATCTTCTTCGTATGACGTTTATGTTTCAGCCTTACGCTAATAGAAATATCAGTAGACAGAATTCATCTGTGTGCGTGATTTACGTTTTCCCCCGTGAGAATTCGCTTCGAATCAACCGGCGGCGAAAAGGAGGAGTGTCAGTGAGGCATATATAGTGCGGCGTCTGCTTTTGCTAAAACGAACGTTCTGAGCAAGACCCCTCTCAGAACTCGCATTGCCTTGCATTCCACTTCTTGTTTCCTTCTGATGAATTAAAGTGTATGTTCAAGCCTGTTTTGCATTAACTGTGGTATGAAACGTCTCTGCGCACAGCACTCAAGCAGAAGATGCTCTGGGCACATGCAATCGATTGGCTGTCCACATCTATTCCTACAAGAACGCCCAGCACTTTCATCCCTTTCATAAAAATTCTTCCTTAGCAAAAGTCTTATGTACAAGGGCAGCAGCGAGAAATGCGCATAACCAGTTTCTCATGGCAACATTTGCTTCGCACATGGAAGACTCCACTGCTGGAAACTGTCCAAGGCCGGCTACTAAATTCACGAGGAAATCGCTGAATCGCGTATGTTATTGAACGTACATACTTAGATGCAAGAAAGCAGCAGCAACACGCAAGCTGAAGTGGCGCGAAGGGACGATACAACAGCTACATATCACACAAACGATTTCACTGCAACATTCGACGGTTGCAGCACCCTTGAATTCAAGTCAGCTGAGCCGCACATTGCCAGCCTCTAGATACACATGAGAGGAATCAACGCAGCCGGTCCAAAACTGTTCCAGTTGGCGACCTATTTGAGGCACACAACAACCACACTGCCGTACAAAAGACGTGCAAAAAGACATTCCAACAAAAGAGAATTAACACGCACGCTGAGCTCCACGAATGGATGCTTAGGCACTAGCTGCACTGCAAAATGCACTGGAATGATTCAGACGTCCAATACAAAAATTGCACAGTGATGCCGTGGCTAGTAAACGTTTGACGTCCTGCGCTACCATAAAAGTACTCTTATTTCACACGTACAGGCTTAACAGCGTTGACAACGAAACGGGCCTTAACAGCGTTGACAACGAAACGGGCCTGGTTCATGTTGTTCTCGCTTTTAGTTGCTGTTCCAAAAGCCCGACAAAGCTCAGCAATTTTTTGAATGGTAAAGACCCTGAGCAATATCTCTCCAGAGACTGTCATTATTGTTGGCTTGGCCACGAAAATCTCTACCAAAAATTCTCCTGATGATAGACCAAACCAAGACGCAGTGACACCATCCACGCCGGAAACGTTAAAGTCGACGCCTGTCGACATGACCGCAGAAAAACGCCTCTCTACTGCTGCAAATTCTCGTGACCTGCGTGCGAGTACCCATGTTCGGCGTCCACTGATCTTCTAGCAGACACCACAACTTTTCAGTCAGCGCGACAAGCACAATAACGCACTGGTCGGCATTTGACCGACTGCCACGCACCCCCTGAAGTTGTCGCAGCCGTGCTCCGTGCTCAACTTCATGATTCCAGTAAAGTTATTTGCAGCATTTCTGCCTCCGAGCCTGGCGACGTCTTGCAACTGCGCGGCTGTCCAGCGCATCGCATTTTCAACCATAGTGGTTCTTTGACTGTAGAGCACAGTGTTTCTCTCGCTAACTAATTCGCTGCCATGCACCACCGCTCCCATGCTAAAGATCATTATTGGCTCCAGATGAAGTTGACGCCTGCTTACGACTTGTTTAATGAGCAGTTAGATCTGAATTAGGCGCATTGGCATTTACAGAGAACAGTTTCCAAGGGAAGTACATCTGCAGCAGTCCCCAAAGTATATTTTGCTACTCGCCTAGAGCAAGAATGTAGTATTGCGCTTTCTTGAAGAGACACTTAGAATTGACGACTGTACGGATCAAAGC